TTCTTGGATGACAATGTCTTGCACGCGTTATACTGACTAACTTTGCCTGTCTCTCCAATCTTCTCTCATCATCTCACACCTTATTCAGTCTGGCCTCACACGCGCCCATAAAGTCTTCACAGTAAACAAACACGTTTTCACCAACGCTTTTAGGCGTTAATAACAGATGTCTTTACTAACCTCGCTCAAACACTAATTACCCAACATTTCACTTTTTTTTTTTTCTTCCAAGTCCTGACAGCTACGAGGGCACGTGGCCCCTCCCCTCTCCGGAACGCCCCGCCCCCATCCGGAGACGAAGACGGGGCAGGGCTGGGTATATAAAGTCAGGGGCTTCCTCCAGCCAGGCATCGTCCGCCGCCGCCTCCACACACAGACAGACATGAAGCTTGTGAGTCCACATAGATCTTGAACTGTCTCTTGTAGTTGTCGGGGGGTCTTGTGGGGTATTGTTGACGAGTGGTAAGCGTTTGTGACGTATAATCCAGTTCAAGATGGCAGAAGGCTAGCTGTAGTTTTGTGTAGCATACAGATGATACATTTCGTTATTGATGTTCGTTGACTGATAACGTCTGCTTAACGAAATGTTTGTTGCAAGGATTGTCTTTACCCGGGGGAGACATGAAGCAATGATTACCCCTCCCACTGTGCCTTCTTCAGGTAGTTCTCGCCTGCCTGGCCGCCGTCGCCCTTGCTGCCCCACAGCCCCAGGACGGCAAGCCCGTGGTGGTGATCCTCCGCGACGACCGTCAGGACTCCGGCGACGGTAACTTCAACTACGCCTTCGAGGCCGACAACGGCATCCTCACCGAAGCCTCCGGCAGCCCTGGCGCTCAGGGCCAGAGCAACATCCAGGGCGTGTACAGGTAACGATGTCTCGCAACGACTGATACTGTATTTTAACAAAACCTCGGGTGACTACATCTCTCTGTCTCTCTCGGTCTCGTCTAGAGAACAAATATATATATACTTATAATTCGGTATCTAGTATCTCTTTACATGGATTTTACGTGGAAAGATACTTTACATGTATCTCTTCAGCGTGATGGCGCCCTTGGGTTTATATCACAAAAACTATAACTGTATTCCCTCTTTCGTCAGGCTCACATTCCCGGAAGGCGGAACTGCTGAGGTTCGTTACGTCGCCGACGAGAACGGTTTCCAGCCGCAGTCTGACCTCATCCCGACGCCCCATCCGCTCCCCGCCCACGTCCACGACCTCCTCCGCATCGCCGAGGAGCAGCGCGCCCAGGGCGTCCAGTATGACCAGAGAGGGTTCAGAATCAACAAAAAGTAAATACATTCTGAGGAACTATCGTCCCACACCCGCTGCTGTCCCACCGCTCGCACTCAAGCACGCCAACCATCGAGCAGACCAGCCATGCTCAGGAATATATTACCCCCCTTCCGGTGTTAATTCCGAGATAACATGATCTTCCCGATAAATTATAACATGATCACTTTTATCGCACTGTGAGAAGAAAATAAAGTCTCAAATAATATATATGTTATATGCCTGACCGCTGACCAACACACGCGCCAGTCACAGGGCCTGTGGAGCGCTCCTCGCCAGTGATGGATGTACACAGTTCCAAGGTTAATTGTTGTCATGACAGTATTTTGAGAACGATTGGTTTCTCATTTCTGCGTGACACTTAACCCAGAAGAGTAGCAGTGTGTGAATGGGTGACCGCGAAATCTATATGTAGGCCTTGAGTACATGGGTGTGACGGCATAGCAGCGGCCTCGACTACATGGGTGACAATTTAGGCCTCGGCCACATGGGTGACAATTTAGGTCTCGGCTACATGGGTGTAACCTAGCTGGGGCTCGACTACATGGGTGATAACTTTGGCCTCGACTACATCGGTGACAACCTAGGCTTCGACTATATGGGTGACAAACTTTGGCCTTGACTATATAGGTGACAGTATATGCCTCGACTATATAGGTGATAGTATATGCCTCGACTACAAGGGTGTAACCTATGCCTCGACTACATGGGTGACAATCTATGCCTCGACTATATGGGCGACAATCTATGCCTCGACTACATGGGTGACAATCTATGCCTCGACTACATGGGTGACAATCTATGCCTCGACTACATGGGTGACAATCTATGCCTCGACTACATGGGTGACAATCTATGCCTCGACTACATGGGTGACAATCTATGCCTCGACTACATGGGTGACAATCTATGCCTCGACTACATGGGTGACAATCTATGCCTCGACTACATGGGTGACAATCTATGCCTCGACTACATGGGTGACAATCTATGCCTCGACTACATGGGTGACAATCTATGCCTCGACTACATGGGTGACAATCTATGCCTCGACTACATGAGTGACAACCAAGGCCTTGAAAACACAGACATTGTAATCTTGTCAGAGTATTCCCTCTCGACCAAAAGATCTATTTACAGTTGCATTTTATATATATTGAATTTATAAGTGCAAATCAAATTTCCAGCAATCGTGAATTAGAAATATAATCCAATTCCCCAACGTTGGTTTAACAAATGATTATCTTGACAATTGAAAAGTGAAAAATGACGAAATAAATAGAATTAACAAAAAACTTATTGTTTAGAAGTTGAGTGGTGTGACTAACAATGAATAAACCAAGAAGAATTGTTAACGGTTGTGACAGTGACGAGTGAATTAGTTACGGAATAGTGATTAGCAAATGAGTGTTCATACAATGGTTAACCCATAACAGCATTGGATGAGTGGGTGCCAGGCATTGGATGAGTGGGTGCCAGGCACTGGATGAGTGGGTGCCAGGCACTGGATGAGTAGGTGCCAGGCACTGGATGAGTGGGAGCCAGGCACTGGATGAGTAGGTGCCAGGCACTGGATGAATGGGGTGCCAGGCACTGGATGAGTGGGTGTCAGGCACTGGATGAGCGGGAGCCAGGCACTAGATGAGTGGGAGCCAGGCACTGGATGAGTTGGAGCCAGGCACTGGATGAGTGGGTGCCAGGCACTGGATGAGTGGGTGCCAGGCACTGGATGAGTGGGGTGCCAGGCACTGGATGAGTGGGGTGCCAGGCACTGGATGAGTGGGTGCCAGGCACTGGATGAGTGGGAGCCAGGCACTGGATGAGTGGGGTGCCAGGCACTGGATGAGTGGGAGCCAGGCACTAGATGAATGGCGTGCCAGGCACTGGATGAGTGGGAGCCAGGCACTAGATGTGTGAGTGCCAGGCACTGGATGAGTAGGTGCCAGGCACTGGATGAGTGGGGTGCCAGGCACTGGATGTGTGAGTGCCAGGCACTGGATGAGTGGTTGCCAGGCACTGGATGAGTGGGGTGCCAGGCACTGGATGTGTGAGTGCCAGGCACTGGATGAGTGGTTGCCAGGCACTGGATGAGTGGGGTGCCAGGCACTGGATGTGTGAGTGCCAGGCACTGGATGAGTGGTTGCCAGGCACTGGATGAGTGGGGTGCCAGGCACTGGATGAGTGGTTGCCAGGCACTGGATGAGTGGGTGCCAGGCACAGAATCAGTGGGTGTCAGGCATTGTATGAGTCTATGAATGGCACTAAATGAGTGTGTGAATAGCACTGGATGAGTTTGTGAATATTACTAGATGAGTGTGAGATAATCACTGGATGAGTGTCACAGATACTGGATGAGAGTTACAGATACTGGATGAGCGTCACAGATATTGGATGAGTGAGAAACAGGTATTGGATGAGTGCGTGAGTAAATACATAGAAGCACGTAGAGAGGACAATGTTAAAGTCTTCGTGAAAGTATGTGTTGAGTAAATCACACGAAGGTTTTAAAAATATGCCACCGACTGGTAAATTAAACAAAGAGGAATGACTAGTGAGTGTGTGTGTGTGTGTGTGTGTGTGTGTGTGTGTGTGTGTGTGTGTGTGTGTGTGTGTGTGTGTGTTTGTGTGTGTGTGTGTGTGTGTGTGTGTGTGTGAGTGTGTGTGTGTGTGTGTGTGTGTGTGTGTGTGTGTGTGTGTGTGTGTGTGTGTGTGTGTGTGTGTGTGTGTGTGTGTGTGTGTGTGTGTGTGTGTGTGTGTGTGTGTGTGTGTGTGTGTGTACTCACCTAATTGTGCTTGCGGGGGTTGAGCTTTGGCTCTTTGGTCCCGCCTCTCAACTGTCAATCAACTGGTGTACAGATTCCTGAGCCTACTGGGCTCTATCATATCTACATTTGAAACTGTGTATGGAGTCAGCCTCCACCACATCACTTCCAAGTGCATTCCATTTATTAACTACTCTGACACTGAAAAAATTCTTTCTAACGTCTCTGTGGCTCATCTGGGTACTAAGTTTCCACCTGTGTCCCCTTGTTCGTGTCCCACCCGTGCTGAAGAGTTTGTCTTTGTCCACCCTGTCAATTCCCCTGAGAATTTTGTAGGTGGTTATCATGTCTCCCTTTGTGTGTGTGTGTGTGTGTGTGTGTGTGTGGGTACTCACCTAGTTGTACTTGTGTGGGTTGAGCTTTGGCTCCTTGGTCCCGCCTTCCAACTGTCAATCAACTGGTGTTCAAATTCCTGAGCCTACTGGGCGCTATAAAATCTACATTTGAAACTGTGTATGGTGTCAGCCTCCACCACATCACTGCCTAATATATTCCATTTGTTAACTGCTCTGACACTTGAAAAAATTCTTTCTAATATCTCTGTGGCTCATTTGGGTACTCAGTTTCCACCTGTGTCCCCTTGTTCGAGTACCTTCCGTTTTAATTAATATGTCTCTATCTACCCTGCCAATTTCCAGGAGAATTTTTGATGTGGTAATCATGTCTCCCCTAAATCTCCCGTCTTCCAGCTAAGTGAGATGCAATTCTCTCAGCATCAGTGGATGCCAGGCACTGGATCAGTGGGTGCCAGGCATTGTATGAGTCTACGAATGGCACTAAATGAGTGTATGAATAGCACTGGATAAGTTTTTCATCGTAAATCATATCCCGTAGTTCTGGAACTAGACCTGTGGCATACCCTTGAACCTTTTACAACTTCATTTAATGCTTGACTAGGTTTGGACTCCATGCTGAAGCTGCATGCTCCAGGATTGGTCTGACAAATGTGGTGTACAATTTTCTAAATGATTCCTTACACAAACTTTGAAAGACAGTTCTGATGTCATCCAGCCTCGCATACGCCGCTGATGATATCCTTTTTATGTGGGCTTCAGGAGACAGGTTCGGCCTGATATCAACTCCTAGATCCTTCTCTATCCGTTTCTTCGTCTTCCATTTGGTACCTTGTGCCTGGCCTCCTTTTCCCACCACCTTGTTTCATTACCTTACATTTACTTGATTTGAACATTAGTAGCCCTTTGTTGGACCATTCCATAATTTTGTCCAGGTCATCTTTTAGCCTCTTGCTATCTTCGTTGTCTTAATCCTGTTCATAATTTTCACATCATCAACTAACATTGACAGAAACGAGTCTATTCCCTCTGGGAGATCGTCTACATATACCGAAAACAAGATAGGTCCAAGGACTGAATCCTGTGTTCATGAAAGTGACATGAAGGTGAGATTAGTAAGTGGATATTAACTGGGATATTAAATGGATAATAATATCCATTTAATAGCCCAGTTAATATCCATGAGGCTATATGGGGGTTCACAACAAGTCATGAGGCTTTATGGGAGTTTACAACATGTCGTGAGGCTATATGGGGGTTCACAACAAGTCATGAGGCTAAATGGGGGTTTACAACAAGTCATGAGGCTATATGGGAGTTTACAACAAGTCATGAGGCTATATGGGGGTTCACAACAAGTCATGAGGCTATATGGGGGTTTACAACATGTCATGAGGCTATATGGGGGTTTACAACAAGTCATGAGGCTATACGGGAGTTTACAACAAGTCATGAGGCTATATGGGGGTTTACAAAAAGTCATGAGGCTATATGGGGGTTTACAACAAGTCATGAGGCTATATGGGAGTTTACAACAAGTCATGAGGCTATATGGGGGTTTACAACAAGTCATGTGGCTATATGGGGGTTTACAAACAGGTCATGAGGCTATACGGGAGTTTACAACAAGTCATGTGGCTATATGGGGGTTTACAACAAATCATGAGGCTATATGGGGGTTTACAACAAGTCATGAGGCTATATGGGAGTTTACAACATGTCATGGGGCAACATGGCATTCACAACACTTGACAACTAGTCCCACAATCACCTCAGTATTGGTAATACTGAGGGATCTGTGTGACACGTAGCTATTCACAAAATAAACATTGCAGATGCCAGTGGTAAACATGACACATGGGAATGAGCATCAGGAAACAAGAAATCAGGTTAGTCACACCTGAATTTAAATCTTAGATTGCTGAGCACTATTCTGTGTGAAGTTGCCACAAACACTTTGGATGACAAAGAAAATAAGAGCCAGGCCGAGTCAATATCACTGACGACACACACACACACATTATATATATATATATATATATATATATATATATATATATATATATATATATATATATATATATATATAATAT